TAAATTAATATTTTTATGCTCAAAAAATATAAAATTATGAAAACAAAAAGTCAACAGCACTAAATATGACATTTTGCACACATTCGTATGACAAGTTGGTCCTCTTTTTCACATAACTATGACTCCTATTTAGTTTTTCTAGATGCCGATTGTGAGATAGTGCTTTTCTGTTTGGAAATTGATGGAACTGAAAGTTTCGGAGCTGAAGACTCCATAGCTGATGGGCGATGTCTCTCAAAGAAAAGGTCTTTTGTAACTTTCTGAGCTTTGTAATTCAAAGCTTTTTAACTAATTCTTTTCGCTTCATTATTCTTTCCATCGGTAGGAGTCGGAAGCATTTCCTAAAAAGACTTATTTATTATATCTATAGAAAATTGTTGAGGAACTGGATTAATATTTCTAGCTAAAGCTGCCAATGGAACATCATCGTCAGAAAAAATCTCACTGTATGCAGTTGAAAGACTTTCGTGTGTCCTTTCGGCGTATCTATTGTTGTTTTCAATTATTTCATCAGACATGGCTCGCTCCGTCACTAAAGAAGGTGCTAAAGCTGCAACAGGTATTGCATCAGGATTAAGAGAAAATAATCCTGTACCTCTAAATCCGCTTATAATATTTTCTGGTGTCATACATTTGGGCCAAACATGGGAAAAATTATGTTAAATCTGGCCTTGTTTAGGCTTCGTTGAGGGTAGGTATCCGAATACTTTAAGAGCTACTGGTCCCAATTTGCTTGAAAAGTGCGAAATAAAGTCTTATCTAGTGGCTGGAGCTCGTGAGTTGTAATTGATTGGAAACAGAATAATGTGATGCCGAGAGACTCAGCTGTTTCAGCAATAGTAAAATCCAAGTGGCTGAAAGCTCCATTAAAAACAAGAAATGTAGGTCCGTTCGACTTATACAAAGCGAAATGTCTTAAAAAATCACTGAAGAGTTGCGTCGTCATAGACCCTCTTGGTGCCATTTTTACAAATTGTCACTAAATTCTGGTTTAAGACATTTTCCTCTAAACAATATCATAGGTGGAACAGATTTGCTTATAGCGTTACAACAAGCCACAATCGTGACATTTTCAACATGCTTAGGCGCAATCATATGAACCCGTCGGACTCCCTTTTCAGACATAACGCGTTGTTGATGGTGTATGGTGAGGTGGCAGCCTTTTTTGTCCATATTATATATATTTTGAGGTTTATATTAAACGTTCATTTAAGTTAGGTTATCTTGGTGAAGTAGTCAAACACGATTGCTTTGTTCAGTTTTTGAGCGCCTGCAAGGTTCATAGGTTGCGCCTTTCGTACAGATAAATCGGTATGTCTCTTCAGAAATAAAGACAGCCAGTCCTTCCCTGCAAGCAGAACGCCAAACGTAGAAAGGTAGAGAAGTAAGGACGCAGGGCGTCAGATGAGATATTCGACGTCGGATGAAGAGCGTCGGATAAAAGAAATGACGTCGTGACGTTGAGCGTCGAGACGTCGAGAGCCAAGACGTGGGAACGCTTTTCCTTATTAAAATTATTGGGAATGTTGTTTATATCACAATATCGAAACATTTGATGTCGAACAAGTTTGGGAGTAAGAGGTAAACCACGTTAAAAGTATCGCCTAATCCGCTGCACAAAATCTCTCTCCTTTGATGATTCAATATGCTTGGATGACCCAATTTCTTTTCTGATAAGCCCTGAACTAAATATCGGCGTAAAGTTCGCCTAGGTATTTGAAATCTAGAACAAATATTTCGTTGAGATTCTCCGCTGCTGGTAGCTGCTATGGTTTCTTCAAGTTGGTCTTGAGAGCACCTCTTGCGTAAATTTTTGCATACTTTTACCATCTCAAACCTAAAAGCAAGAAAATAAATTTATTTTTTTTTAATTAAGTAGGGTAATATCTCACTGGCAGGTTATATTATGGCCCAAGGCCATACAACCCGCTACTTTAGTGTGCCAAATAAACCGAAAAGACATCCAGACAACAATAATGGGTAAAAAATACGACAGAATTTCATTAGCGAATAAATATTCCGTGCAGAGATACTCAACAACATACACTTACCTCTCTTAATTGTGCTGACCGTTATCTTTAGTTCTTAGCATAAAAATGTGGTCAAAAAATTAGCCGAACATTTATAATAGCACGCGTATAATCCGGCTATCATAATTCAACTAAGTGCTGCGTGCAAAATCGTGGTGCCTAATAATTCCTCAAACAGTCGTTAGTAGTGAGGGTTACAGGCAGTTAACTGACTTTGCCAGATCGCTGATAAATGCTTTAGTTTGTAACCGTCCACTCCCCGGTCTTGTAGCTAATTATTAAAAGCCCGTACTCTAATTTAACTACCTTCTTCCCCTTGTGAAATTCAAAGTAATTCATGCTTACTGTATTTGGCCTTTTCCTCTAGTAGTATAGTGATCGTCTAGTTAATTAATTGATAATTGATATACCCACATTGTGATAATGTTAATTAAGATATACCAGGATTCGTTGCAAAGTTTGATACAAATTTGGGAATGAAATAATGCTCAAAAATATATTTAACTTAATTTATTTTTGTTCTCAAATAAACTCAGTAAGTACAAAATTTCTTTTAATATTAGGTAATGAGAAATTGTATATCATCTAGACCTCACATGTGTCCCGCCCAAACAAACAGGCCACAGGCCACTTGCCATCAAATATATAAAAAAATTCTTGAGAATAGATAGCAAACGTCCTCAGAATTGCACTATCTTTAATCATTCTTTTGTTTCGTCGTTTTCTTTTTTATATAGGTGCGCTTACTGAAATACAGTCGTTGCAATAACAGACGGATGTCCCTTATGTTTCAGCCTCACCTAGGGGGATTTTATGTAGAATAGTGCTAGATCACTACCAGCGAACTACTCCTTATGTTCAGATCTACCTACGATGCGAAGATTGAGAGATAATTATCTATGATAGTCCAACCCTGTAGTAATACCAAGCATATTCGGATAAATATAAGTTTAGTCGTCCGATGTGTCATTTACCCCAATCAGCTGAGCTATTATTTAGTATATATTTGCGAGGGTTCATTGACAGTTCGGTAGCCAGACTCTTGTTATCTTTTATGGCGATATATTAGTTTGAAGGCAATATGACCCATAGCATACACTTCTGGACGAGCTAAATGCGATATCGGCGAACAACAAATTCCTCAAATCTAAAGGTTGACCATTATTGAATAATAATGAGTTACACAATAATACTCATTATTATTCAACAATAAATTCCCATTTTACAAAGTTAATTTCGATGTTAAGTTATTAATTCACCATCGGATATGCAGACCATTGGGTGTATATTATCGTCTGTTTCTATTTCAGACATTTTATGTTTTGTATTCGGTACGGAAGCGTTATCTTGTGTGGGATAGTTAGCAGGGACGTAGAGACGTACATGTTGGAATTTAAAGCGGCGTGACGAAGAGAGCGGCGTGACGAAGAGCGTCGTGACGTAGAACGCCAAACGTAGAAAGGTAGAGAAGTAAGAACGTAGGGCGTCAGATGAGATATTCGGCGTCGGATGGAGAGCGTCGGATAAAAGAAATGACGTTGAGCGTCGAGACGTCGAGCGTCAAGACGTGGGAACGTTCAGGAGGTAGGTTGTTGGGTTGAAGAGTGTCAGATAAAGGTAGGAAATGAACTGCGTGAGTTTAGGAAAGGTACTGAACTTAAATTATACTAGATTTGAAGAATAATACGACTGGAGCTCGAAATCAACTGAACTTAGTCTGATTTCTTAATGCCTTTCGAGTCCCCTTAAATCAAATCTTTATACTCGATTTAATTACTTTTTGTGACGTCAGTTTCTCGTGTGAACAAATTTGGGCGGATATGGAGTGGCTGATTTATTATTTGCCTTGAAAAGTTTGTGTTTTATGATGGTTTTAGACCGAGTTACCAGACACTTTTAAGAAATTGGAGCTCTTACGGGCAGGGTTATATATTATTTATTAGGTGTCATAAATAAGATTTAATTATTTGGAAGATTTTTCGTTAAATGAATTGAATTTAATAAGAATGCAACTTTTCTTTAATAAAATGGAATTAATAAATTATTAGGCTACCTGTGTGCGATAGGTTACAGTCTTTGTGCTAGGGATTTTGGACCCGCTGGACTATATTTGCCTCCACTACCTTAATTAATCTATGACGTGACAAAATCTAGTACCTTTCGTTTCATTTATTTTACATTTAAACAATAAAAAAAGCAAATTGCCTTGGGGTATTTTTGAGAGTTTAGTATTTTATTTATATCTTGCAGCATGAATAAAAATTATTATTTTCGCATACAAATCTATTTTAAAATAAAAGTAAATACCGCGCAAATTATACCTGAAAACCACTAACAGCATAAATGAGGTTATATTTTTAGTTTTATTTTTTTAAATTCTGACACGCACTGCACATGCTTGTAAATTGAATTATCCCGTTATTTTCATTTTCTCTACCTGAAAATAGGAGAAAGTTTTGAAAGAATATTCTCCGCCAATTTTGGTGAATTCGATTTCAAGAATACGAATTTTTACAAGGGAGTATAAAAATAAAAGAAAATTTTTTCTCAATATTTCTCCCTCCCAAATTTAAAAAAAAAGGCACCCTGATACGCTGCCTTAAACGCCGGACTCTTTCTAAACGACTTATATATGATGGAAGTACACAACAGGGTGCATGGTATCTCACGTTATAATAATCTGTGGCACTTGAGTAAATCCCAAAATCCCCTTTTGGGCTCCCCTACTATAAGCAACTAATCTGGTTTAATTAAGTAACTAAGTAAAAAAAAAAGTTGTTTAAGATGTCTAGTTAAAACACTACATTTATATCTGGTATACTTCTTAAAATATAACCTTTAAAATGGGTTTAAATATACATGCGTTACCCGGTATTATCAAGAGAAAATCAACTAGTTTTTGGGCAGTTCATTTATTAAAAGAAAATAAATTTTTAGTATTTTTAATATATTTTCAAAAATTTGTTTCAGAATACAAATGACTAGATTAACGTTCTTTTTTAAAGAACAGCAGTTCATAACATCAGAAAGAAACGAATTGTATGGACAAACAGACTTTCTCGCCAATTGTGGTGGTATTTTAGGACTTTTCACTGGATTTTCGTTTTTGTCAATAGTAGAAATTTTATATTTTCTAACATTAAGATTGATGTGTAATGTTAAACATTATGGAAGACATTATTGGTCGGGATCCCCCAGATTAGTTGAAGATGAGGACTATGTACATCCGAAGAGGCGCCAGTAGTTTTTTTGCACCAACTTAAGTGTATAAAACTGGAAATAAATTCCAATAGGTAAAAAGTTTAATCAACGTTTGTTTAGGTCAAACGACTGTTTTAAATATTTAACGTTTTATGTATGTCTAATATATAAATCACTTCACGTCAAAATTTTAATTAGACACCCAAAATAATATCACTTTCTAAAAAAAAAAATTAAGTATTTTACAAATCGTTTGAAAACTAATTTTGTCTTCTTAAATAAATATATAAAAATCTTAAGTAACACAATGTTAAGGTTTACTAATATTTAAAATGTAATTAATGTGTTTTGTCATTAAAAGCACAGTAAATATACCTCTACGATTAGTTGAAAGCAATAAACTTTTTGAAATAAATTTATTTTTTGTCCATTTAACTACCTACATTAATAATATAATTAGGAAAATTACGCTTATTCAATTTAATTTTCTTGGTTAGGTCTTAACAAAGATATATCAAAAGGAGGAGGCGAAAGAGAAAAAGCTTGACCTTTCCTTACAAAATAAATTGTTTCATTATACAGTGTGTCTGAAAAAGTTGGCAACAAATGGGAAACTTTTTTATTATTAAGTTTAGGAAAAAACGTCATTCTTCATAAAAAGTTCTGCAAGGCCTAAAACCCAATATACGATAATCAGATATCGAAATTTTCCAATCCTATACGAGGTTTGTCAAAAAGTATGAATTTTGCTCAAGAGTAAAGTACCTTTATTTTCGACAATATCTAAAATTGTTATTAAGAAAAGTTGATTAGAATTGAAAACTACGTTTAAATGTCTAATTACAGCTATCTACGATAAAAACCAGGTTTTATTATTGTTTACAATTTCTTTAAGATCGAAAATGATCAAAAACTAGGTATCTAAATTATTGACCTGTACAAAATCAAGTTGCTGTGGAAATGTTTTGAAACATACCTTATGTCAGTATGCTTCAAAACCTCAGTTTGTAATAATTGTACTTTTTTAAATACTAGTAAAAATGCCGTTGAAATTAAGTCTTGAAGAGAAAATTGAAATTGTTTTAATTGTTGGAGATAACTACAAAACTTATAGGGAAGCTGCCATAATCTTTAATAACAGACATCCTGATAAAAATGTACATTTTGCAACAGTAAGTAAAATAATAAAAAAGTTCAAGTGTTCCGGAAATGTTGAGAATAAATTCAAAAAGAAACATGAGGCATGGGTTGCTACTGAAGAAATTCAAAATCAAGTAATGCTCTCAGCAATAGAAAATCCTAAAGATTCCATAAGAAAAAGGGCAGCTTTACTTGGTGTGCGCAAAGACGTAGTTGCAGGAATATTAAAAGCAAACAAATTTAAACCTTACAAACCCCAGTTCACTCATACCCTAAAAGCAGGAGATTTTAATAGAAGATTTGAATTTTGTGCTTGGTTCCAAGGGGAGTTAGAAGATAATAATTATATGGCACGGTGCATAATTTTTTCGGACGAGGCAACGTTCACTTCTAATGGGGTAGTCAGCTCACAAAATTGCCGTTGGTGGAGTGATGTTAATCCTAATTTCACTGTCCAAACTCGTGACCAATACTGTTTTAAAACAAATGTATGGTGTGGAATTTTTAAAGATAGAATAATTGGACCATTTTTTTTTCGAACTAATATGAATGCTGAACGTTATCTGGAATTTTTAAATAATGAGATTCTTGAATTTCTTCATAACCTACCAATAATGGAAAGGCAACGTACATGGTACCAACATGATGGAGCAACCTGCCATAGTACAAGAAATGTTCGAGAATGTCTTCTACAAATTTTTAACGGAAGAGTAATTGGAAGATTTGTGGACTTTGCTTGGCCTCCAAGATCTCCGGACCTGACCCCCCTAGACTTCTTTTTATAGGGATACTTGAAGCAAAAGGTATACCTTAAAAGACCGTTTGAAAATATTGATCATTTGGAAAGAATAATTAGGGAAACATGTGACGGTGTTACTCCAGATGTTATTAGAAATGCAATAAAAGAATTCTCTCGAAGAACAATTACCTGCTTAGAAAGGGACGGTGGATATGTTGAGGCGTACGTGCAGTGAGGGAAAAGTTAATCCGGATTCTTCTTTTTCATGCATGTAATGTTTGATGTTGTGTTTTGAAAATAAATGATTTTAATTATGTATGCATTTGTTTACATTGTATTATTGATAACTCGTGCAAAACAAAGTCAATATTTATAGCAAAATTTGCAATGAGAAAATGAGTGGTGTAATCAGTAAGTGCACATGAACATAATTTTTAATTTCTATCGACATCTGAGGTTTTGAAGCATACTGACATAAGATATGTTTCAAAACATTTCCACAGCAACTTGATTTTGTACAGGTCAATAATTTAGATACCTAGTTTTTGATCATTTTCGATCTTAAAGAAATTGTAAACAATAATAAAACCTGGTTTTTATCGTAGATAGCTGTAATTAGACATTTAAACGTAGTTTTCAATTCTAATCAACTTTTCTTAATAACAATTTTAGATATTGTCGAAAATAAAGGTACTTTACTCTTGAGCAAAATTCATACTTTTTGACAAACCTCGTATACGATTGGAAAATTTCGATATCTGATTATCGTCTATTGGGTTTTAGGCCTTACAGAACTTTTTATGAAGAATGACGTTTTTTCCTAAACTTAATAATAAAAAAGTTTCTCATTTGTTGCCAACTTTTTCAGACACACTGTATAAAAGATAGATAATAGAGAGATCTAGTCCAATTTGTCGCGAGAAAATTCGTTGAGACAAAATTGCTGCAACAAATTCGCGATGAGACAAGCGTCTGTTAAAAAAAAAAACAAAAAACACAATAATAGGCCATATTCATATACGTGAAGGATATCCTTCTGAGTGTAAGGTAGAAGTATAAAGGTACAGTTACATCTGACATTTATTGCATGATATTTATGTCTGACAGTTATTTAGTCCAGTGTAAACACACACAAATTTCTCTCGGACATATATTTTTAAGTGTTTACACTGGAATAAACAACTGTCAGACATAAATACCATGCAATAAATGTCAGATGTAACTGTACCTTAAGGTAATACTTAAAAGTAAAATGTTAAATAACCACTTTTTTCTACACCCGTATTATAATAATGCACTTATATGCCCATAATCCGTTTCATAATGATACCCATTATGATACAGATTTTTCATTACGATACAGATTTTTAATCAATAGAAACCTACAATTTTTCAATCAAGCATGCTGTTTGACGTTTGTCCTAGGTTCCTATGTAATTATTTTAGTTGTCAAAACGTATTAAATTTTCGTAGGTAGCTAAACTTCGATAATTATAATATTAAAATGTCTGATATTAGCGATATAGAAGACTCCTCCACACATATCGGAGAAAGCAGAAAATACAGTACAAAATATTTTACCGCAAAAATCTAGGGAAATACCAATACCTGAAGTAATACCATTAATTACAATTTTGTAGAATTTTTTATAGAAATACGAGTAATTACTGTTATTGTGTTCAATACCAATATAAATATAATATTTATAGGTCTTGATTATTTATCGGGTGTAGAAAAAATAGCGTATGCAACTCTCATGTAATGGTTATTAAAACACTCGCATCCCGGTTAATGCTCGTGTATTAATAACCATCATTACATGATCGTTGCATAATATACTATTTACTTTACGTATTTATAATGTTCTGCCATCGCCTAAAGGTGCGTTTTGCAAGCAGCGATGATTGCTGAGCGATAATCGCACAGCGATCATAGCGGGTTATTGCTAGGGGGTCTTTGCATACTTCCGTTTTCCTATGAGCGATAATAACAATAGACGCTAGCGGGTTTATATCGTCGCACGATCTTAGGGCAAATATGATCGCAGTTGTAAACGATCATTCAATGCAGGCCATCGAAATAGAATACAGTAGAGATGACAACACTATTTTGCGATATGACAGGTAGAAACACTTCTAGTGACGGAAAAGTGTAATAAAAATGACGACTTGAGTGGTACTTTGATTTCATTGAAATCAATAATTTTATATTCGAAGACTGACTGAATGAAAATGATGTTATATCATTTAAATGAAGCTATTTAACAAAAATGGCATCTATTTTCATTAAAACTGGCTATCTTGAGTTTGACATATTTAACGTAAAAGTGTAAAATTATATCTCAATGACGCAGATGGTTCTCGCGCACGTGCTGTTTGTTGTATGTGTTTTAGAACTTTTATGTGCATAAAGTGGAATAAAATCGTGAGGCCCAAGCTGAACTTTTTAGCATTAGAAGACGAAAAACTTATTGAAGCTGTGGCAAAACACCCTGCTATTTATGGCTTGCAACACGCTATGTACAAATATCAGCGTGCAAAGGACTATATATAGTTTGACATTGGAAAGTCAACTAAATATATTCCAATGAGTAAACTACAGTAAAAGTAAGTGTATAAGGCAAGGGTATTTTGTGAACATTTAAGGTCATTTACGAGAAATTGGCGGGAATCCAGGATATTACAAAACATTTGAGGAAATTTAAGAGTTATTATCTAGAATTGCGACTAATTTAAATGCATTTTAAAGGAGTTTAGCTCTTTAAAAGTTTTGATCAGGTACATCATTTGACGTTAAAAATTGTTTGGTTTTGTTTATTTTTTGTTTGTTTCTGCTTGTTTTTGCTTGTTGTTTGATTCTGTTCGTTTTTGTTTGTTTTTGTTGGTGTTTGTTTTATTGGTTGGTATTTTGTTTGTGTTTGTTTATTTGTCTGTTTTGTTTTTATTTGTTTTGTTTGTATTTGTTTTTGTGTCTGTATACGTGTGTTTGAATTTGTTTTCATTTGTTTCTTTTTTTTACTGTTATGAATATATATTCTTATTTTTCTTTATTATTATGACCATCAAGTAGAAAAAATAATGTATGAAACTCACATTTATTGGCTAATAAGACCCTCGTATTAATTACGACACTCGCCAAGAATCGTGTCATAATTCTCATACTCGTGTCTTAATAGCTATCATTAAATGTTCGTCGCAAAATATACTATTATTTTCTTACCTTAGTGTTATAGCTAGTTTCTCATCAGGTATAAGTGGGTACTTATTTCTGATGCAAGAAAGCTTCTTGATGTCATTTCTTATCAAGCTGAGAATATAATCGAAATGGGATATTTAAAGTCTGAAAAATTCAGAAAATTTCTAGATGTTGAAAGATCAATTTTTGAAAAATCCCTCTTCATTTCTAACTTTAAATATGGGTTGATTTATTACTCTTGGTTCTGTGCATATTTGAAACAATTCCTCATCTAATATTTCCTCAACCAGGAGATATTTAAATAGTAACTTCTATTTCTAAGTATTTAAAATAACATCTAGCAGTACCCAGCGGTGATCGCTAAGCGACCATCGCAAGAGTCGCTGGTTGCAAAACGTACTTTTTTAATATTATCTACCAGTATTCGCAATCATCGCTATGCGATTATCGCTCAACGATCATCGCCAAAATCGCTGCTTGCAAAACGCACCTTTAAGCTTACTCTTTTCTTTATTTACCTTCCATGCGCCGTGGAGTCTAGCGCTGGCCATATCAAAACCCGCCTCAAGACTCGAAGAATCGACTTAAATGTTTTCTCTTGTAGTCCGACACGTAGATGAAGAATTTCCAGAAGCTTCTATACTAATACCGAATCTTTTCGAGCAGGGCTGGTTTTATATAAAAAGCGCGACATTGTTTAGCAGTGCAGTTGAAGTTTATATACTGAAGTTTCAATATAATAAATGTTGTTGAATGAAGATTAACTGTTAAATAAATAAGTGTGAATAATAACAGTGTTTGGGTCTAAATAAATTAATTAGTAATTGATATAAATGAATTATAAATAAACTGTTTTAGGTAAATAAATTATTCCTAAATTAAACAATCGTTACAATAATGATTGCCTTATATTTGCAAGGATTTCCTTTATGAAAACAAATGTATCAAGACATGAAAATTAGCTCATTTCGTTTTTGCCCTGCTACTTCTGTTTCGTGCTCTTTGCTATATTGTTACTTGTTACTATAACGATTTACTTTGTTTTGCTAAATAACTGTGTTTTATTTATCGTAGAGAGAATGATGTTGACATTGCTAAGTGTTAAACTAAAATTTATCGCAAATGAAGTTTTAAAGGCTATGGTAATTTTAGAAAAATTATTTGCTAAATACACCAACTTATTTTATAACTAATTTGTATTAAAACCTACCTAATCTATGTTTACTTTTACAGTTTATATTTACTCGACAATATTTATTTCCAAACTAACTTCTCAAATACACACCAATTATTTATATTTATACACATGAGCGGGTATGATTGCATAATATTCTGGTGCATTCGCGAACTATCCCGACAGTGCATTCGCCAAAAAAACGACTTTCTTATTTTTAGCGCATCAGATTGCCTGAAAATTCCGCATCACATGGACTAAATATCAAAATCTCACTCAGAACATTAAAAAAAAAACTAAAAAAATTTATCTCAACTTCACTTGTACTTACTAAAACGTGTAGGGGTATGCCATTATTACTAAACTAAATGGCTGCATATACAATATGGGACACAATAATCTTAAAAATAATATTCAAAAACAAAAAATAATTTCAAGTAATTTAGCTGTACTAAATTATTTTTTTTCGACTCGAGGGAACGATAGACAACTTTTGGAAAATGTATATTTTGTCAAAACTCGCTTCATCTGAGATACCGCTTTCTGGCCTTCTTCTATAGTCGTCGCATTAGAGTCGGCTTCGGGAAGTTAATTTATTTTTTGAACATTTTAGGTAATCGGACATGTGGTGGTCGAAATAAAGCAGAGAGTGACTTAAGGATTAGAGCATTACCGTATTGGCCAAAAATGGCTCGCATTACATTGCCCCTTTCTTAGTAGATAGTACCTACTGGATATCTTACGAAAGTAAAACCGAAGAGTTTTATCTGAAACCGGACCCTTTTTTACAATTTTGAATTGCATGGAAGTAACTAGGGACGCTTTTCGCTGTAACCTGGACACTGGACAAACTACTGCAGACCAGTATTTGAACTCCAGTACCTTGAAAGATTACTTTAACCATGTTTTTAATGAACCTCCAATTCAGCTGGTTAGACTTTATCTTTGACATGGTTAGCGTCCCCTACATTACTATAAATGGATCCATCTTGAAGTTTCAAAGTTTTTCTAGTGACCGGTAACCGCTCTAAGTTCTGGTAATCGACTAAACTTCTTTCGAAAAACTGATGCCATTCCTCGTGCGTTTTTGATACGGTAATGCTATGCCAGCAAGTCTTTTGGGAGCGTCAGCAGATCTTGTTGTTGCTCGTTTGTAACACAATATATTGCTTTCTTAGTACCTCTTCAAAGGTCAAGTGTTTCTTTTTTTTTTTTTATTATGGTCACCCTTAAATGACGCTAGCCGGTTTTGATGTATTATCGCTTTTCCGTTCTGCGCCTTTCCTTTCTGATAAAGTCTATTACTCACAGCAAATGTAGTATATTTCTTACACTAGTCCTTTACAATATCGGAATTGTTCTTCCAAAAAAACATTTCAGGAACCCTTCGAAGGGTTTTCTTAACACCGAAATGTCCTCCTGATGGACTCGCATGTAACTGACGAAATACCTCGGCTACTCTAGTCTTTGAATCAACTGCCTTCTCTTTTTAGAACTATCATCATTTTTGAGTACTCGCTTTAATACGCCTTTTTATATAATAAAAGAGTCCCACTGAGCCAAATACGACCTAAGTACTAAAGAGAGCCTTAATACTGATGCCGATCAAGTCGACAATTTTCGTTTTTTCATAATCGCATCTTCTTTAAAACGAGATTGTTCTCTTTTTCTTTACTGATTTTGGTTCACATCCGTCGTTAACTATCGCTTTTTTCATACTGCAACATCTTTGCATCTCATGGTCACGAAGTCCATCAACAAATGCTTGAACAGCCAAACATTTAGCTGATGGGTAGGTAAATCACACTACCTTGGCAATTTCTAATTCATATTCTTGAAGGCTCTCGTTTTGTTTCTATTTGCGATTCTTTAACTGTAATTGGTTGGTTAAAAATGAAATGGAAATTATTGGATTGGGAGAGCTAAGGTGAATTTAATCCATCAATTGTAAAAATTACAGGGGCAATGCAAGTTGGTGTTGTAAAACAAAACACTTAAGATTTTTTGTTGTGGGTACCAAGTACTTCATTTACTAAGCAATCTGAATATGAAAATGTCACTACTGTCCAACCGGTGTGGCAAAACAAACTAGCAACAGAGATATATTAAACTGATATTTCGTATAAAAGTGCATGCTCTTGGTTTACCTGGAGAGCTACCAGTGACCAAATTACCAAAACAGTTTTCAAGGCCACTTATACGGCCTTTATTGAAAATCCAGGGCTCCTGCATGAACGCGATATCTAGACTCTCCTTGACTGGGTGGGTGGGCGGTATTTCATTTGCGTTGGAGTTGGGTGATGAACGTAGCACCTCCTCCAACTTCTTCGAAATAACGTTGGTGAATGGGGTTAAGGTAACCTAAATTGGTTCTCCGCAGGTTTCCTGGCTATCGATGGGAGTCTTACCAACGTTTTTTCGTTGTAATCTGAATAGTTTCTTATTCTAATCCCACGAGTAGCTAGGAAAGAGGTGGTCAACTACAGCAGAGCCCCGAATTACCCTAGTAAGGCTGATTACTCTGGCAGGTAGCAGAGGCTCCAGAGGCTTCGTTCACGGAGGCGCTCCCCCACTATTCATCCTTTGGGCATGGACCCCATAACACCTTTGGATTAGGAGGTTGGTCAGCGTCACCTTATTGGGTATTCGGTGATATTATGCAAAATTAAAAATAGCTACCCAAGCCCTGAGTTATTGTGTTAGTAATCTTTTGTTTACATGAATTTTTTTTAAGTTGCGATTTTAATCATTTAATATTCTTGACTACTTGCGAAATACTACTAACAGTACAAATATTTAGGTTTGGGGCTGCTGCAACACGCTAATACAGAGAATATATTAATTTCATATTTCTATAATCTTCAACTTATTTTTCATACCAGACTTATATCAGTTGATAGTAATAGGGATCCATCATTATCACGCTCTCGTTCAAAATGCTGTATTAACGAAGCTATAAGCTCCTTAAAACGACTTTTTAGTTTTTTGGGCATTTTATATAATAAGAGATTACCGCGCGACGCGTAGCGACTTTCTGTCTCAAGCGGCTAAGTATTACTTTTCGCTCTTAATACACCAAAAGCTATTGTCATCCATATTCTTTATTGTGTACATCAGATTCCACTGTAAATGTTCGAGATCATTCTAAAAATGATTTAAGTCAGTACTTTCTAAATCTGAGTTTTTTGGAACAAAATACTACTCGATCTCGATCACCAATGGCATCAGTGCCAACATCTTTTATATCAAAACTTGTGTTCAGGTAATCTATCAGTGTCATTGTTTGAGATGAAATGTGTGTGGGTTCTGAAATTATTTGCTCTAAATTAAGAGACTCATTTACTGTCAATATAGTCTTAAACTATTGTGAATTAACTTTAAATAAATTGATAATAAAAGTTTGCAGTATTTATAGTGTATCGGTAGTAAATATGCAAGTTATAAGAGTAGCATTTCCTCTAATTGATATAGAGGTTTTAAGGTAACATTAGGTCAAACTATTATATTATACTTAATATATGACATGTACAATTTGTCTTGCGCTAACCTGTGATCATTTTGTTGATGCGTTCGAAATGTTTAATAGTGTCTTTGATAATTGCAAGTTCTTCCAGACCTCACAGAAGTAGGACTGGATAGATACCGTCAGGTCTTGGTGATAGAGAGAAGCTGGATATTACCCATCTAATTTTGTCATCGTCTACAATGCGTTTGGCAGTTTGCCAATCATAGACAGATGGGTTGTATTCTTTCTAGACCCAGTCGACCACGTTTGCGCACCAATACTTCGGTGTAGATCTTTTGAGGGAGCTTTTTGAAGCCTCGCTGCCTTGACATACTTAATGCATCCAAAAAATTAAAAACCAATGACTTCTGGTTGTGGTTACATTCCTAGCTTTCTCGTAAAATATTGTATAAATGTTCTAGTTAAACCACTGGTGGTTATCTATATGATATTAAAATCTAATCTACGCAACATTTCAAAACGACGGCGAATTAACTGTCAACTCGAATAACAGGCCCATAGCAATTTTGTATAATTTTAGTAAGCTTTTTGAAATTATCGTGTATGACATTATCCATATTAAAAATAAGGTTTTATGTCAAACAAATCTACTGTTACAAATCTAGTTTGTTTTACCCAGTATACTTCTAAGATTATTGACTCGATAGAACAGGTAGATGCAATTTACCCTTTCAAAAAGCATTTAATAAAATTGAGCTTTTCTTACTATTATCTAAGTTAAGATCTGCGAGGCTATTATTGCTATTACTTCAGCTTCTTAAAAGTTACTTTGTTGGATATTCTAAGGTTGTTGAACACGGAGGGTTTAGGTCTCATCCATATGTAGCTATTTCAGGTGGTCCACGAGGATCAAATCTAGGACCGTTATTACTTTTAATATTCATAAACGATCGTTCTTCTAGGCAGACACAACGCTCTTTCAATGACTTTTTAGCTGAAACTACAACAAAGAGAAAAGTGAAAAAATTCCTGCCGATAATAGATATATACTACTGTTCAATAAAGGTTTTTGGTGTCTCTAACTATCAGGGATCGTTTAAAAATAATTCCCAAAATATGGTAATTTTTACGATGAAATAAAGCTAAAAATATACCAGTAATAATTACCCGATTATGAAAATAATTCTTCTTTGAATAGGCTATACTAAAGCAACAAATGTCGTTTAAAATATTTAAATTAATTGCGTCAATTTCCTTAAAAGCTCATTGAAGTAAATTTTGGAAGAAATTATAAATCGCCATTTATATGTAAAAATTGCATAGAATATAAAAGAAAACTTCTTAAAATTCATACAAGTAGCCACAGGTTAATTCGGAGCTTCTCTAATAGATGGCGCTAAAGTCGACTCGAAATAAATTCAAATACGCAGGTTCTTATTTAGGAGTTTACTAATTAATATGCATATTATTTCAATTATTAAACATATTTAATATTTGCGTAAGAGCATGAAGGGTATGTAAGTAATGAGAGAAAGCCTCTTTGAGATATTGATTTTACGTTTTGTGGTCCGGAAAATGTCTGTACGGAAGTGGTAAAAATTTAAAAAAACGACTAAACGGCCTCTTAGCAAAAATCGATTGCTTGCTTATTTTGTTGGATATCGGAGCCAGAGTGTTAATGGTGCCTTTAGTTGTTTTATAAAATTGAATATTTCAAATAATTATACAAATCTAATATGCTTAAATGTATTTTTTTTTTTTCAAATTAGGTTTTAACTTTCATGTATCCAGTAAAATATAGGATTGTTTTTTTTTTCGACTTCTAGTTTTCAACTGTAGGTACTTTAGGTTTCGAAGATAATTCAAAAATGAATAAACAGTAAATTTTAAACTTCAAATTTAATCTAATAAAAGTTATATAGATTTGAAAAATAGATATTTAAAAAATATTTTTGGATATACAGGGTATTGCGTTTTTCCTGGCAAATAAAAATGTATGTATTTTATTTTATTTTTAGAATATTTTAGTAATACTGTATTCAATCCTTGAATATTTTTATAAAATATTACAGTATTGCCAAGCATTATTTTTTTTTTTGAAATTAGAGAATGATGCTGACCGCAAATTAAATTATCATAATTTAGGTAGGTTTACATTGATCTCAAAATTGTTTAATATATAGACTTATAAGATACTAAGCTAACGAATAGTGGAGATAGAACTGATTTTAAGTTCAATTTACTCAATTTTTAAAATGCATCATCGTGTATATTATCTTATC